GCAAAGGAGTCTGGGAAGGATGTGCCCCTCCCTTGCCCAGAGGCAGGCTGAGGAGGCCAGGCCCTGTCCTGGGAAAATCCTGAGGGGGGGACAACAGCCCCAACCCTGGACATCTCAGGGGAGACACACCTAGTGTCCTTTCTGGGAAGTGTGTTTCAAAAGGAGCTGTCAACCTTCTGAGAGACCTGGGCTGGGAGAAATGTGGTCAGGGATAAAGCTCTTTACTCACCTGTAGTTGGGGAGCCCAGCCCTGAAAAGGAGACATAGCACTGTCTTGGGGATCTTTGGCCCAAGGGATAGACGTGGCTTCATGTCTGGAGAGTTCAGTATGAGAAGAGGACATGGCTCCACCTTCAAGGGTCTTTGATCTAAGTAGGGCCCTGAGGCCTATACATTGGGGAGCCTGGTTTGAGGAGAAAACATCCCCATTTTTTTAAGGAATTCATAATCTAAGGGAACATAGGCCTCACTGTGGGAGTCATGTGTTGGGAGATGTGGATCTTCCTTAGAGGGCCCTATCTGAAGCAGAGGGCTAGGCCTATACCAGGCTTGTTGATATAAACTGGTGCAGGGTGTGGTTGTGCACACCTGTAATCCCAGAACTCTGGGATACCGAGGGAAGAAAACTGCAAGTTTGAGGCTAGCCTGGGCAATTTAATGACCTAGCAAGACCCTGTCTCAAAATCTTAAAGTTTTAAGGGCTGGAGACATAGCTCAGTCCAAAGGCCCTGGGTTCAACCCCTCCCCATACCAACAAAAACAAAAAGTAATAGTAAACTGATCTCTGCCAGTGGAACTTTGTATGGGTGAGAGGAGCCCTTGTTTATTCAGAGAGGCAGAGCCCTGGGGTCCATGGTCTTCCTGCAGCCCATGAGACATGGCTGTAGAACTTCCTACCTGGCACATCTGTGAGGTGGCAGGAGAAGAGGGCCCTGTTCCTGAGAACATGCGAGGGCCTCACAGCCAGTGCCTGGGCCTGCTTGGCATGGCAGTTCCCCATTATAAGAATTCCTGAGACTTTTCTATTAGGATCTCTGGGGCCTCCTAACATGGAGGACAGGCAAGCGGCTCTTGCCTAGGCCAGATCTTGACTATGGGTGTAGGCTTCGGGCCACTTTTTTGTTGGGGGTGTTGACATGGGGAGAGTGTAGAGTACCCCTGCCTGAGTTAGCCCTGCATGAGCAACTACTCCTTGTTCTCTCCAGGGAGCCCAGCTCTGGACTCCTGAACTCCTCCCCATGGGTTTCTTCTGGGCATTGGCTGCCCTGTCTTCTGCCACCCTCTCTTCTGGCCTTCATGCTAGTGGGTCCCTCCAGTTTGGATGGCTCCTTCCCTCTTCTGTTGCAATACTTGGCTGGGATGGTGGGAGGATCTCCCAGCCCAGCCTGGGGTACCTGGCCTCAAGACTGGAGGGTTGGGGTAGGGAAGGGCACACAGCCCTGCCTCTTGACCACCTGTCAGCTTTGCTGACAGTCTGCCTGGGACTTGGGTGGGCTGGGGTGCATCTGTGTCCTGCCATCGGGCCTGGCCTTCCTTCCTCAGGGGGGATCCTGCTGACCCCTGTGCCCTGACTGCAGGGGCTGAGCCTGCACCTTGCTGCTGTGGGGGAGCCCTCCCCACAGCAGAACTGGGTGGGTGGATCAGGAGGGGAAAGGGCTTCCAAGCCTCCTGCCCCCCTGACAAGCCAGTGGCTCTCTCTCCTCTGTCCTGCTGCAGATGGCAGCTCAGCGGCAGCGGGCACTGGCCATCATGTGCCGGGTCTACGTGGGCTCCATCTACTATGAGCTAGGGGAGGACACCATTCGCCAAGCCTTTGCCCCCTTTGGCCCCATCAAGAGCATTGACATGTCCTGGGACTCCGTCACCATGAAACACAAGGTGAGCAGGCTGGGCCCATTCCAGCTGCTCTGGGCTCACCCTCTCAGGACTCTTCCTGGCTTAATGGGGCTACCCTCTGTCTAGGGCTTTGCCTTTGTGGAGTACGAGGTTCCAGAAGCTGCACAACTGGCCTTGGAGCAGATGAACTCAGTGATGCTGGGGGGCAGAAACATTAAGGTGAGAGCAAAAGAGGTGGTCCTGGTTCTTGAGCTGAGAACACATGGAATATTCTGTCCATCCCCTAACAGACAACACAAAGTAGTGCCCTAGAAGTATGTAGTGGCTGGGCCTGGGCTGATGGTGCTCTTCATCCCCTTGCCTCTTCTCCAGGTGGGCAGGCCCAGCAACATAGGACAGGCCCAGCCCATCATAGACCAGCTGGCTGAGGAGGCACGGGCCTTCAACCGTATATATGTGGCATCTGTGCACCAGGATCTTTCAGATGATGACATCAAGAGTGTATTTGAGGCCTTTGGCAAGATCAAGTCTTGCACGCTGGCTCGGGACCCCACAACTGGCAAGCACAAAGGCTATGGCTTCATTGGTATGCTTGGGGTGCTGTGGAAAGGAGGGTCCCACCTAATGCTGGGACTGACCTTCCTCACTGCTGCTCTTGTCCTGCAGAGTATGAGAAGGCCCAATCATCCCAGGATGCTGTGTCCTCCATGAACTTGTTTGATCTGGGTGGCCAGTATTTGCGAGTAGGCAAGGCAGTCACGCCCCCCATGCCCCTGCTAACACCTGCCACTCCTGGAGGCCTCCCGCCTGCTGCTGCTGTAGCTGCAGCTGCAGCCACAGCGAAGATTACAGCTCAGGTGAGGAGGGCTAGTGCAATTTCATGGGTTTGACATGGATAGGTCCTCTGGTCCTTTGGAGGCTGGCTTTTCAGGTGGTGTTGGGTAGAAGTAACCAGATGGGCTGATTATGGTGGCCTTTTTGGTTGTAGGAAGCAGTGGCTGGAGCAGCAGTGCTGGGTACTTTGGCTACACCTGGATTGGTATCTCCAGCATTGACCCTGGCCCAGCCTCTGGGGGCTTTGCCTCAAGCTGTCATGGCTGCTCAGGCTCCTGGAGTCATCACAGGTGAGTCTGAGTGGGCCAGGACTCCCTTCTGTCCCAGCCTTTTCATCTCCAGGTTCTCTCCTTTGGCTGTTTTCTGGCCCACACTTGCTCATACGTAACCCTTTGAGTCCAGGGTAGGCTAGCCATGGCTCTCCATCTCTCTGCTCCTTCCCAAAAAAGGTCTTGGGTTGGGATGACTGCTGGACCTGGTTGGTTTTGCTGCAGGTGTGACCCCAGCCCGTCCTCCCATTCCGGTCACCATCCCTTCTGTGGGAGTGGTGAACCCCATCCTAGCCAGCCCCCCAACGCTGGGCCTTTTGGAGCCCAAAAAGGAGAAGGAAGAAGAGGAGCTGTTTCCGGAGTCAGAGCGGCCAGAGATGCTGAGTGAGCAGGAACACATGAGCATCTCAGGCAGCAGTGCACGCCACATGGTCATGCAGAAGCTGCTTCGAAAGCAGGAGGTGGGCGGCCAGGACCTGGTAGGGGGTGGAGCAGGGGTAGTCCAGGCAGTCTGCAACTCTCTGCTCTCCCCTCCTGCACAGTCCACAGTGATGGTTCTCCGCAACATGGTGGATCCCAAGGACATCGATGATGACCTGGAGGGGGAGGTGACAGAAGAATGTGGCAAATTTGGTGCTGTCAACCGTGTTATCATCTACCAGGAAAAGCAGGGTGAGGAGGATGATGCAGAAATCATCGTCAAGATCTTCGTGGAGTTTTCCATGGCCTCAGAGACTCACAAGGCCATCCAGGCCCTCAATGGGCGCTGGTTTGCTGGCCGCAAGGTGGTGGCTGAAGTGTACGACCAAGAGCGTTTTGATAACAGTGACCTTTCTGCGTGACTCTGGCCCTGTTTCCTGGACTTGCACTTGCTCCTTGTTTCCTTTGGGTTTTATAGTGATACAGTGGTGTCCCTGGGACCAGGCACTCTGCCCTGCCCAGCCTGTAGTGTGCATAAAGGTGCAGATGCTGCTGTCCCTGAACATCCCTGTGTCCGATGTTGGTCCTGTGAC